AAGAGCACTAACTGCTCTTCCAGAGGTCCTGAGTTCAATTCCCAGCAACCACATGGTGGCTCACAACCATCTGTAATGAGATCTGGTGCCCTCTTCTGGCATGCAGTCATACATGCTATATACATAATAAATAAATAAAAATCTTAAATAAAAAAAAAAAGATACTAGAGAACTATAACAGGGTAACAGCAAACACCATTATCCACAATGTGTTTCCCCAACATCACATGGTAAACTCTTCTGCCACATTTTGCAATGAGTTCTTAACCCCAAATTACCACAAAATTGACAGCAGTATTTTGTTCAAAGCAGGGATGATTCAAAAGACAGCCCACTACCAGAATAGACTTTAAAAGCCTAGCTATCTAAGAGGAGATGGCGGCAAAAAAAGATTCTACAGAAAATGACCTTTCCTGGAAGGTCGGGGGTTGAAAACCATAACTGAACTTAAGAATTACTCCGTCACTTACCTTCCGTCTTGCAGACAGTACTTTCAGGCATTTGAAACCTCAGTAATTCTCCAGGGAGGAAAAAGCCAAACATATACAGGATGATTTGTGAAGCAATGAACTTAAAATCTAAAAGCAATTCTGTATCACATGGAATGGATGAACTTAGTACAGCTGATTTAAAATAGCGTATCATTCAATTATAAGACAACAAGTTCCCGACCAGACTAACCCAATCCTCCTGTTATGCTGAGTAAGTCCATGTAGGCTCTCAGAGTACCTGGTCCAGACTTCCAGATACAGGAAATGTCCTTACCCTGAAATTGACTCTGTTCCTGACTCTCTGAGCCAATGCTGAATTTATAGCTTTATCAAACTGAAGCAGAACTTGAAGGGCAAGCTGGGGGGTGATCTGTTGAGACTGAGAAAAAAAAATGTACATATAAATTCACTAAGGGAAGAACATTAAAGACAAAGTATATTAATTAGAGTCTAAAAGTTAACATAAGTTAACCAGAACTTCAAGCAGAAGTCCTTATTCTCCTGTGCTCTAAGTGAGGATGAAATAAAGCCTGAGAATAACTTCTACACTATCTTGACAAAAAAGGAAACTTGCAGTGAGTTTGCAAAGCCAGGAAAAACTCTTGCTATTCCTTCAGTGGCTGGACAAAGTGTTCAACAGATGGGATCCAAGTTTTCTCTTAGTAAAAGACATGAAACCTATACTAAAGAACAGACAAAGACAAACCTTCCCAAAGTCTATATAATAATAATGCCCAAACAGAGGAGTCAGGCCTGGTGCTGCACAACTGTAATCCCAGCAGGTGGGGAGCAAGGGCAGGAAGACCAGGAGCTCCAGACCATTCTTAAGCACAGAGCACTTTCAATGATGGCCTGGACCCTGTCTCAAAAAAAACAAACAAAAACAACCTTGCTCCCACACCTCCCTCCAGACCCCAACAGAACATAAATTGAAATATTTAATACTTTCTTAGTTGTGTAATTTGAGTAAAATGAATTCTTCTAAAACTGAAATAAAAATTAAAATTTCTAACTCAAATCTCAAAAAAAACTTTATTATATTGGACAGAATTACTTTTAAAGTGATAGAACATCCCTTTCTTCTAAATTTGAGATGAGAAGACTATACTTTCAGAGATCATTTCTATAGTTCATCACTAATAAGTGAAAACCATTAATTTTTAAATTTTTTTAACAAAAAAGTTTGAAGACTTATAGAGCATGTTTAATGTTTGGCCCCCACCTGTATGAGCTCATCAAGGCTCTCTTGAAGACTGTTTCCCAAAGTCGTATTTCTGTATAACTGATATGCCATGGCTTAAAATGGAGCAATTACTTTTTCTTCAGGCTTGCATTGATGTCCTACAAATTTAATATAAAAGACCAACCTGTAACAATGTAAATTATAAATAATAGTCTATTATTTCATGTATTCTAACATGGAACTATTAGAACTCAATTACAAATTACTATATTAATTATTTTGTAATTTCAAAGACTTGTTCAAAGTTGATTTTTTCTGATTTTAACACCAGTATGGTATTTATCTTTTGAATTCAGTATGTTGACATACTCATTAAAATGTGCATTTTTATTTTCCCCACAGGTTTCCCTTAGTTTATAATTTTCTACATAGCATTCATTCTACCTGCTGTCACAGAGGGACGTGATATCTGCATTTGGGCCCTTTATTTTTATGTTTTCTTAAAATTCCATTAGAGTTCCCACCAAAAGGATGGCACTGTGACAGGCAACAGAGACAGGAAGATGAATAAAGATGAACTCCTGGTCCTAAAAGTCTGACTCTACAAAAGGTAACAGACACTTTATAAAAAGGATAAATTTGGTGTGAAAAGGAGTGACACATTCAATCATGTAGGCTGCTTGTGGACAGAGTTGGCTTAGAAAGCTTCCCGTTCTTCAAGCAAAGGAAGAAAGCCATTCCAGGATGGCAGGAGGGCAAGAGAAGCCACAGAAGTGTGAAAGCGTAAGGTTTGTGGAAATCGTAAGTGTGAGTAGACAGTAGCAGTTGGTGACGCTGAAGTAGAGGGCAGGTTGAGTTTGCTCCACAACAGAATGGCAGGCAACAAAAAGACCTTGAAACAACATTTCAGACAAGAAAGGCAGAAAACCCTGCTTACGGGAGGGACCTGAAAATGATTACAGGAGTACAGATTTGACAAATATTTACTTAGACTCCAGAGATGGACAGAAGGAAACATTCAAACAGTCATTATCAGATAAGATTTGGCCAAAATAATGACCAGCATCTTCACATTACAGCTGGCTATCATCTGATCCAACAGATCATTCTGTGTTCTTACCTCCCAGCTCATGGAACTACTATATTTTCTGTTTTCTTTGGCAATTCTTCCTCAGCTCCCTGACTTCCATCTCCTGAATTACCTAAAGGCTTCTTCTTCTTCTTTTTTTTTTTTTTTTTTTTGGTTTTTCGAGACAGGGTTTCTCTGTGTAGCTTTGCGCCTTTCCTGGAACTCGTTTTGGAGACCAGGCTGGCCTCGAACTCACAGAGATCCGCCTGCCTCTGCCTCCCGAGTGCTGGGATTAAAGGCGTGTGCCACCACCGCCTGGCTCCCTAAAGGCTTCTTAAGTCTTCTCTTCACTGGCTTCCAGTTATTCCATCTAAGCTTATGGTGCTAAACCCCATCTATGTATTGATCACTCTGAAACTTTTATCCCCGTCCTCACTTCTTTGTACCCACATGTAAAAATGTTTATTTTACACTGAAAAAAAAAAAAAAAGATCAAATAGCCAAGAAATCTCTCCTGCAGTTAAGAGCGGTTGCAGAGGACCTCTTGAAGAGGACCTAGGTTCAGTTCTGAGGCACTCACATTGGATAGATCACAACCAGCTGTAACTTCAGTTCCAGGGAATCCCATGTCCTCTTCTGGCCTCCATGAGCACCCATATACATGTGTGCTAGCACATACTCCCCCCGCCCCCCCAGACCACACAGGCAGGCAGGCAGACACACACAGAGTTTCACTCCTTCCAATAACTAAGGTACTCTTTGTCTACCAGAATAGATGATACATGAAGACAGAGAAATCTAGTTCAGCTATGTATTTACCACTTAGGACAATGTATGTAGCATTAAAAAAATATATTTGTTGAGTAAAAAAACTTGTTGGCATGTCAAAGTACCAACAAAAAGCATTAGAAATATAGAAATATATTTACGTGAGGGCACCTTTCTACTTTACTGATGAAATCAAATGAATGGAAACTAGAATCTCACAACCACATCCATCTACTAACCTACTTACCACTGCCTATACCCATATACTCTGCCTTTCGGTCATTGTAGTCAACATGCTTTTATCTACATGCAATGTATCCACCTTTGTATCAGGCCTTCTTTCTCTAGCATGCTTGACGATATTGTCTAACAAGTTCCTTCTTTCTTTCATCATCAAATTTCCCCTTTCTTCCCTCATTTCTGTCAGCAAACAAACTGGCAGCTACTTTTACCACCGTTGGGAGAGCAACAACCACCACTACTCAAATCCATTTCCCCCCCACCTCCCTTCTACTCCTGTTTGGCAAAAGTTAAGCGTCACTTGACTCTGTTTCCCCTTCTCCCTTTCCCCCAGTCACAGCAAGCGTTCAGCTCTGACTGTAATGACACCCACGCTGCAGGCCATCGAGGGCACCGCTAAGGCTGATCTTCAGCAGACTAGCCATCTGTCACAGCTCACTCCTTGCGGTTCCAGGGTCTCTGCTCGGTACTTCACTGTGACGGTTGTTGTCTTAGATTCAATGGTTCATCCTGCTCACTGACCCTCTTCTCCTTGTAGCCCTGGCTGGCCTCGAACTCACAGAGTTCTGCCTGCCTCTGCCTCCTGGTGCTGGGATTAAAAGTGCATGCCACCAGGCCTGGTCCTTCCCCACTCTTTACAATCACAAGACAGTCTTTGACTGTTTACAATTTTCTTTCTACATACATGTATGAAGTGTTAACATTCATTCTTGTGGCTTTCAACACCAGCTGGTGATCCCCAAATTCATATATCTTCCAATCAATTCTCAATTCTGGAACTAACTTCCTATTCAAAATTTCTACGTGGCCTTTGTGTCTCAGTTGAAGTCACACCATACTTCCATGGGCTTAGACAATACCTTTGAAGTCGCTCTCAAAGTCATGTAAACCACAAAGATGTCCAATTCCTAGTAAGTCATGTGAACACAACCTTCAGATCCAGTATCAACCATTTTTCAACACCTCTACTATTACTTCCTTGTTCTAAGCCACTATTACAAGTCATTTGGATCATCGAAATGGTGTCCCGATTTCCTTTATTCTATACGTTCCTCACATTCATCTTAATTTACAGTGGGGTTATTGTTTGAAAACATGGGCTAGAAAATGTCTCTTTCTCCCACAGCTTTCTTCAATACTGACATCTGGCTACCTTTTATGTCCAGTCTTATCTGCTATCCTCCTCCTCCTCTTCCTCCCAACACATCCTAACTTCCCTGAGCTCCACAGGCATGTTTCTGCCTTTCTGATGGCTGTTCTGCCTGAAACGTTCTTGCTCAGATATGAACTTGACTAACACAGAGAACTCACGTTTGCCCAGATAGCTCCCACCCAATAACACCCAAACGGACCACACACTACGAAACTATCACACCCACTATGGAACTTCCCCGTACCCTTTAGCTCGCTCAAATTTTTTTTTTTTGTTGTTGTTGGCACCATATGCCAAGTTACATAACGGTCTTCTATTTCTTCTCTGCATAAATGTAGGGCCCACGAGGGCATGGATCTTTGTTGTTTTGTTCGCTGAGACAACCTGCGGGCCGGGCACAGAACCTGACCCGCGGCGGGGGTCAAACGAGACACTGAGTCCGCTGAAGGTAATCGCCAGTCAGCACACGCGTGTGGACCGGGGCCGGGGGAGGTCAGGGAGACGGACACTTGAAAACGGGCCGGCGGAGAGCCGGGTCACCCTCCCGCCTGACACCTGGGCATCCTTTCGGAGACCTCAGCTAGGAGCGACCTCAACGCCTGCCCGAGCGCGCTGCCCCGCCACCTCCACTCCCCGAAGGCGGCCCCGGCTGCAGAACTGCGGGGTGCCCTCCTCACGGCGGCGGAAGCGCTCCTGTCCGCTCTCCGAGGCAGACGCGCGTCCACCCAGCGCGGCCTGAGAGCGGGAAGGAGGCGGCTCCCGCGCCGCCGCGTCGGCCTTGGGGGGCGGCTTCCGGCGGGCACAGCGCTCGGTCCCGCCCGCCCGCCGCGGCTCCCCCGCTCCCGGCCCCACCGCCGCCTACCTGAGGGAAGGCGCTTCCGCCGCGGCGCTAGCAGAGCCGGGCAGAGCGCCCGCCGCGACCTCCTCCTCAGGCACGGAAACCACAGCACTGGGCTAGTGACCCGGATGTGTTTGCGCGACCCGGAGGTGACGCCACGAGAGGCGCCGGTGGCCCCACCTCAGTTTCCGAGAAGGGGCGTGGCTCCTCCCATCTGGGCGCCCCTCCTGCCAGCCGGTGTATGGGGCTGCAGTTTACGGCAGCGAGCTGTTTGGGATTCGTGAATCCTTTTCATTCGGAAGACCTGCTGTATAAACTTCGTGCCTAACAGTGAAGCAAACACGTAGCTATTCTCAATTTCAGAATCTCAGACTCCTTTTGGTATCAGCCGGGGTGCTTGGGGTTCTGCTTTGGAAACAGCAGTTGTGTGCACAGCAGATGGCCACTGAGCACCTGAATTGTCACTTTGGGGTCAATGCAAAACCCGAGGTCTGGGAATGGAACAGGCACTCCTTTGTGCCATGCTGTGTTTCCCTTTTAGCCTTTTTGTTTGGTTGGTTTTTTGAGACAGGGTTTCTCTGTGTAACAGCTCTGGCTATCCTGGAACTCACTTTGTAGACCAGGCTGGCCTCAAACTCACAGAGATCCGCCTGCCTCTGCTTCCCAAGTGCTTTTAGCCTTTTAAAATCATACCCCTGCATCCCAGAATAAAATAATCTGATTAAAGTTCAAATAACGTTAAGATTTTAAACAGGCTGAACTTGTTATGGGTCAAAAGAATCAGAAGTGCCCGCACTGCAGGGCTGTAAAGGCCGGCTATTTTAAAGGCTTACCAGACAATTCCGTGTAAAAAGTTAGCGCAATTAAAGATGAAAACAAGGCACCAATGTATATTCCAACTAGTTTATTAAAATGCATTGTTGTAGTAATACGTGCAACAAATTAGGACACACCACTGTATTCATAACAAGTCAAAAGAAGAGAAAACAGCACATTTTGCTGATCAGGGGCTGCTCACTGACTAGAACTACAACCTGTATCCTGCAGACAATCAAACTGAATTCTCACTGAAATGACAGTACTAGACTAGTTAAATACAATTTAAGAACAGCAAAAAAGGTCACAGCGAGTTAACTTTGTCTAAATGACAACATGTGAGCTTGTTATAAAAATACTTTTGAAGTATAAATCAAAGTGCAATAGTGTCTGATGAACTCTGAATTGTGTGTGTGTGTGTGTGTGTGTGTGAACAGCACCCCAAGGCTGTGAAAGCCAGCAGCCCTGAACGTCAATATTTACTAGTTAGGTTTCTGTAAGGAAATATGAAGCAGTTCTCAGGAGGACATTAACCTTTTGCAATTCTGTATACAAAGGTCCAATGGAGTAGCTGACAGTTATCAAGTTCTTGTCAAACTGGATATACAAATACATAAAAACTTCAAATCCCAAAGTTTTAAACTACTGTAGGAGTCTTTTAGACAGCTATCTGAAGCAAATACCTTAGTATCAGTTTTTACTAATTTGAATGCACCAAATGTTACTCCACCCCACCCCGTCCTACCCCCAGGGCAGGTCTCACTGTGTACACCCGCCAGGTTGTCCTGAACTTGCTAAGCAATCCAGGCTGGCCCCAAACTCCCAATCCTCCCTGCTTAGCCTCCAGAGTACTGGCCTCACAGGCACATGCCATCAAGCTTGGCCTGAAAACTCATCTAGTACTTGATTTCAAGTGCTGCATGTGAGCTTTTCATAGCATTTTAAATTTGGTTCCACAAGCATTACATATTATTTATAATTGCAATAAAATGTCCTACTCAAATGGTAGTCATCCCTTACTGTTGTTCCATACTGTTTTGTTCCTGTTCCTGTTCAGGACTTTAAAGCTCCATTATTTGGCTTCTGCCGACCTGATTCTGAATTCACTGAGACTCTCAGAAGGGGAGCTGAGAGTGAAGGGCTCCTCCGACCGGTCATTCTGTACTAGCTTAGAACACTGGGCAGACAGTGCCCTGCTGCTGCTGCTGCTGCCCCAGTTCTTCGTGGTCTCAGCAACTCCCTACACAATTCCCATCCCCTAGGACAAGATAAACTCACTAGCACGAGTATCAGCCTGGAAGTGTTCAGACTCCTCCTATATCAGCCCTCTGAGATTTGATAGATCCATTTCTGAAATATCTAAATAAAACGGGGGCCAGGGGACGAGTGGAGGGAGACACAGAGGACAAAACCAAAGCAGATGGGGTGGCCACCTCCGCAGTCAACTGTCTCTGCAAATCTCATTTAACACTGGTAACAATTTTCTACCCCCAACCGCCCCCCTTTTTGGTCTTTTTGAGACAGGGTTTTTCTGTGTAGCCCTGGAACTTGCTCCGAGGACCAGGCTGGTCTTGAACTCAGAGATCTGCCTGCCTCTGCCTCCCAGACTGCTGGCATTTAAGGCCACCACCACCACCACCACCACCACCACCACCACCACCACCACCACCACCACCACCACCACTTGGCAACAATTTTCTACTTATAACACAGGAAAAGGAAGGCCAATGCTTCCTCTCATGCAGATCTACCAATTCTATCAAGAAACTGGCCTGCTCTACTAAAGTATCCTAGTGCGAATTCTCAACTGAATAGTTCACTGCAAAGAACGAACACTTCTACGTGAGATTGCCTCTTCAAATTCCCTGAGCACTCACATGAATGGCTGCAGTGATGTGACGTAAGTCCTCTGGAAGAATACTGTCAAGGAGCTGGTGACACTAAATTGGGACACTTGGCACAGAAGCCAACATTAATGTTTACCAACTGTGGAAGGCAGTAAGCGTCTCAACTTGGACCCTGTAGCTACTCTGCCACCATTCAGACCCACTTCTATCTGAAGAAAGAACAAGATTGTCATCACAAGTGCCATCTGCAGCTTCCTTTTCAAGCCACACCTTCTGTGACCTCTACTTTTCCTTGTGGGTACAGGAAATGGAACCACCCGCTGCCATACAGAGTACTTCCCTTAAGAGGGACACTTTCGGTGGCATGTAGCTAATAACCAAGTCTTTGTTTATAATGGCCTTTTTCTCATTTTATCTTCTAACTCTGCTCAGCACACCTCTTGCCTCCTGAGTTAAAGGCTTCAATATGTAGGGACATCACAGTTTCCCTTGGTGCTTTTTCAGGCACACAATCAAGCTCAACACAGAATTACATTATCTTCTAAGAAAAACTTTGGATAAAAAAAGGAGCAATTGGAGCCAAAGTGCAACAAAGATGGTAATAAAAACATAAATTAAACCTGTTAAGTTTATCCATGACCCCAGCACAAAGTCAAAGAATTACTCTATGCACTTGCAACTCAATTAGTAATGGAGATTAGAATACAATGAAGCAGGAGGATGTTCTATTGTTACCAATTAAAAATCAACTGACTATGGCTCTTCCTCTAGCAGACTAGTTAGCAACCCAGTCTCACAGGCATTTACATTTAGGGTGGGCGCACCCCTGCACCACATGTCATTCGAGTGCAGGTTAAAGCAGTTTTCCCCATAATTCAAGCGTTAGCGCTGATCCCTTTTATTCCTTGAGTTGAGGGCTTGCTATGTAGCCTAGATGGACCTCAAACTTAGAATCTCCTGTCTCAGACTCTAGTGCTGGGATTCAAGGCATGTGCCATGATACTTGGCTGTCCCTTCTGAATTTTATTCATTTTAAAAAGATTGAGTTGTGTGTGTGTGTGTGTGTTACCATGGTATACAGGTGCCCAGAGGCCAGAGAGTGCATCGAATCCCACCAGCTGGAGTTATGGGTAGGCATGAACTGCCTGCTATGGGTGTTGGGAACTAAACCTGGAAGTGTTCTTTCCATCACTGAGCCAGCTCTCCAGTCCTTTGAACTTAAATGTTCTAACTGAATATGGGCTACTTCTTTTTAAAATTTTACAGAAAAAAAAATCACTTCTGAAAAAAGTAAACACAACAAAAAGCTGTAGCCACTGTCTGTATTTTGAAACTAAAGGTCCAAGCACTTAGCACTTAATGTGGCAAAGCAAAGACAAAGCTCAGTCTACTCTGAGTTGAGACAGATGAGACCTTCTACAAGCTCCTCGTGCGCGATTCTTGGGCTAAGTTCAGAAGGATCTACAGAGCTCTATAGCCCAGGCTGGCCTTAAACTCTGAGCTCTGTGGACCTCTGCTTCCTAAGGGCTGGGATTAACGAGGGATGCCACCACGCCTGGCTCTACACAGTACTCCTAAAGCTTCCTTCACCGACACAAATAAAATGGGTTTGGCTCCATTTACTGCAATGACACTAATACAGGATCTGCGTGGAGAGCTGGATCCAAGCTGGGAGGTTGTGAGGATGTTCTACCCAGAGTCCTCCAGCTTGACCGTAACTGGTTTTAACTTAGCAGGTCAAATTTATGCCTGCAAAGGACAAAGAAATAAAGAAAAGTTCCCTTTTGCAATAGAAGCGTAACACTAAAACCTGACACTAGTGAAGGTCAGGTGTTCAGTACGGGAGGGAATAATCTTCTAAGTTTAGATCACACCTGATTCAATTTTGCTTTGCTAGGTCACTCTTGTAAACAGCTTACAGGAAGGGCTGTGTGGTACGAAGCTGATACATAGTTTATGTATATGCCAGGCAAGTTCATGACACAAGACTAGAAGTTGTTTAGAATGATTTTGTAGGTAATTAAACCCTGTTTGGAGGCACAAATAAATTTTATTTCAATGTTCAGTCAAAGCACTTAACCACATGACATATGTACAATAAATGTCATCCTGAGTGCAGACCAGCGGTGCTCCAACACTTACAGAATCACCCATGTATAGCAAGCACTGTCATGCCATCCAACAGCTATGTGGCCACCTATCTGCTTAGGTCAAACAGCACTGTGACAATAACTGAGGAGGAAGTACTCTGGTAAAGTGCTCCGCGAGAGCATTTCACTACCAGCCCATCTGCTCTCCAGAGGCAGCTGACTGAACACTCACCACAGCTCTGCACCACCTCACTGCTTCACACACACGGACACAGCTCGCTTCACATTAGTGAACACATCTTAAGAGCTTCCTCCCTTCCTTTCTCTCTCTTTTTTTAACAGTTCTGACTTTGGGTAAAATAAAATGTCCCTTATATACATATATACAAACCCTAACTACCAGCTTCTCAAAATCTCTGGTTCTGGTTCTAAAACGTCTTTAGAGAGGAAAGCGAGCCATTCACTTGCAGGCTCTTCCACCACATTAAGAAGCAGTGTGCTTTCCAGTGAGAAGCTTGGGCTGCTACTACTGACTAGATCATGTGCACGACCCTGGGGACTCCGTGTCAGCTTAACTGTCCTTGCTTGAGGACAACTCAGCCTAAGTTACCCAGGAAATGTGTCCAACCATTTACAAAAACAAGTCTTACATGCACTTTATATTTAAAAGCGTGTGTATATTCTTCCATGAGATAGGTACACACTAAAAAATATTGCCCCCAACATAAAAAATATATATTATTTCTTTCCTTTGTCATTTATGTATATAAATATTTTACTGAAGATGCATCATTCAAATAAACAAATGCAAAAATTGCTTTATATAAAGTGTAGTTCTCTGCTATTTAGCAATATAAAATGATTACAATATAATTAGTCATTAAAGAGCTAAATTCAAGAATTGCCAACCATTACAGCAGTGAACAGTCCCTTGTACAAGAGTCCATTTGGAAAGGAGTCAAGTAAATTTTGTAACAGATTATGTAAAAACTGGAGCCATGAATGCACACTGAGCACAAGAGCCCCGCCTCCCTGGCGCTCTTTGTCTCATCCGGCAGGACGCTGACCTACTGCTCACTGTTTGGTGGTTCCTGTTTGCCATTAAGCTCTTGATCAATTCTGTTCAATGAGAAACACAGATAATTAGAAATAACCAAGAAACTTGCAACTGGACGGCTTCTTTCTGAAAAATGACAACTTTTAGCAGATTATTCTGTTAAATAAACAAAGCTTGGCAAACAAAGCAGATACAGTAGAAAGAAAAAACAAACACATATTATTTCCCCAAAGAAACAGAATTTTTCTAAGCAACAGTACACTGGCAAGGATACAAATGTCACTGTTTATGGCTATAGATACTTTATGTCCATAGCCATAAACATCCTGAGAGCCCATGACTTGTAATTCCACTACAGCAGGAAGCTTAGTGGGTAACTGTCGAGAGGAATAAACTCTCTCAAAATTGACTGTTAACTGAAATTTAAATATATCACTAAAGTCACCAACTGACCAATTAACATTTTAAAATCTAGAAACCAAACTGTGCTTTACAGAATGGTAACTATTTTCTGGAATTCACTGGTACACTGTGTATGAATGCCTTCCATTTATTTTGATAGTAACCTACAGAAACTCAACATTCAGAGATATCTACATGAGTCACAAAATCTCACTGGATTAATGTTGGTCAAAGGTCCTACCAAAATTGAAGCACATGGAGATGAAAAGATAACATGATAACAGTTCTAATTCTCTGTTAATAGTCTCAATAGCTGGTTTGGGATGTTTAAGTCATGCTGGGACAAAGCAGGAAGGTACTTCTCACACCTGTTTCCATCCTATGATCACTGATGATCTGTCAATCAAAAGTAAAAAGCCCTGGTCTGTTGTAAAACTACAGTATGTTGGCATCAAAGATTAGATACCTACTCCTGTTAAGGCCTACACTCTATGGCTCATATTGTCAATATGAACTATTGTTAAGAAGTAATTGTAGGCATTGCTGAAACATGATACCTGCCTGGCCACAGACACCAAGTTGCAGAAACAGGTGAAAAATTTCAAAGGACTATACTTCAACCCTTAGTTCCTACCAAACACTGGGAAACCCCCATATCCAGAATTCCACCGCTAACATGCTTGCCATACCCACAACTCCAAGTTTTGTTTTAAACATATTCCTATATTTAAAGCTAATTGATTGAAAAAGTGTCTCAAACTGACCTTTCAATGCTAACGAAAGTTTTATGAGAATTAGAATGTGTATGTGTAATGACCCTACTGAGGACTGAGCACAAGCAAGCGGGGAGGGCAACTAAGATTTTATACATGTGTGTATCTATTAGCAGAGCGAACACAGATAAGGAAAGATGAGGGAGTGGAAGGAACTCCAAGGGAGGAACACTCAAGATGAAGTAACTGTGACAGGTTTCAAACAAGAAAAATTAAATGTCTGAGCTTCACTTTTTATGTGATGCCTGAATTATTTTTGACAGTTGATCAAATAATAAAACCTTTTAAAAAAGGGAAGTACCAGCACACTTCCTCAACAGAAGCAATTCTTTTTTTTGACATGGGATTTCTGTTTCTGTCATCCTGGCTGTCCTGGAACTAACTCTGTAGACCAGGCTGGCTTTGATTCACAGAGATCTACCTGCCTCTGCTTCCTGAGTGCTGGGATTAAAGGCGTGCGCCAGCCTCCAACTCCCAGCCAATCATTTTAAAGTCCAGAAGGTAGAAGGTGGCTTCAAACTACTCTACAATTATGGATGCTATTTTGAGTCTCAGCCCCTCCTCTGGCACATACATAGCACTGCCTAGAGAGGAAAGCAGAGCCCATACCCAAGCCACTGCTCACATCACTTAGTGAGTCTTGGTTCAACTGTAGAGTGGCGTACAGACACGTCAAGTTATGACTCTTACATGGTAAGCTAAGTTCTCATCCAAAGAATCAAAGTGCTCAAAATGAAGACTATACCAGCCAAGGTTCTAACTGGTTCCACAGATGGGTAAAGTAATACACGTAAATCTCTCATCTTAATTCCTAAGATCATAGTAAATGATATTTTACTAACGTTGTTGTTAAATTAAAAAAAATAAAATTGGTTAACAATGGGTGTGGCGGTAGAGAGCCCTAACCTCCCATTCAGAGACCGAGGCAGGAGACAGAGAGAGGTCAGCTAGAGTAAGACCATCGCCAAACCAAACCAAACCAAAAGCCTAAAACGACTACATTAGACCCAAGGCCTCCACTTTTCTAAACTACTATGTAAAATGGTAAACTATTTTATACTCCACCTTTCACCTTTATGCAAAAACACTAACAGATGAGAGGTTGTTACACTCAAAGCAAAAGTGTTCAAAATTCAAGTGGAAATCGGAGTGTTTAACTGTTAAATGGTACATGGGATTTTAGGGATTTCATCACATGTAGAGTTTGACTGGTTAGCAGGCTATTTCATTTAAGCATATAAAGAAAATCAATGTTGGTTAGCCAAAGAGTATACGCATTGTAAATATAACCATCGGCCCCGAGGGAATAAGCTGTTGCTGAAAATGTGTAACTATTTCAAAAGCAAAGTGAGAACCAGTCTTCAAAGGCCTGGGATTTGAAAGAGGGCTCCCAGCCCTTTCCTTGGGTTCAGCATCGTATTCCGACCAGCACAAGGGGAAGAAGAGCTTTGGTTGCTAACAGGCATTAAGTATGCTCATGTTTGGCAGAAGGAGCTTGAGGTGCGCTCTGTACTGGGCTCCGGGCAACATTTATATTTACAAGTGCTATTCTCTCTGTTTGCGAGCTAACCAACCAGCAGCAGGGTTAGTCTGTGCGATGCAAATGGACTAGTCTAGATGCAACCCAGTCAAGGTGTGCATGTACCTTTTTTGTCTCTTTTTAAACTTTTCTTCTTCATACCTTGGTAGGGAAGAGTTATTTCAGTAAATGCACATTATGAGATTAAAGAAAAAAAAAAAGTCTGAAAGTGTAAGTCTGCAGGCACAACTCCAAAGTGCTAAGATTTGCACATGACGGAGAAAATAAAAACTGACTCAGTAAACTCTGGTTTGGACACACTTAGGCCTAAACCCTGAGACCAGCACCTTCCCACACCACAGCACTGTGACGCCAAGTGTTTACGCCGACAGTCTTACTGATCCCTTCGGAGGCAGGTGGAAGTGAACTGTGAAACAGAAAAGTCTAGTCTCTGGAAATACTAAGACCAAGTTGATTTAAGCAACAATTCATTTCTTTAGCAATATGAGTCACTTCAGTAACATGATAAACTCATTCCATCTGGGAGAGGAATACGTCAAGCTGAGAAGTGACTCTTCAGGACTGGTCGGTCCTTCAGGAAACTGTCTCTTAGACTGTAAAGAGCATTTAACATAGAAAGGACTCATGACCAGCCATGACTTCTGCTAAGGTAAAAATGCTGATGTACGGGGAAGGGGTGGGCAAAGTCTCTCCTCTCCTGACTTGTTACAAAGCCCCGCTCTGTTCTAGAATCCCGGGTGGAGGGAAAGCGCTCGTCCTGCACAGAAACAGGGGCAGAATGAGAGCAGGGCGGAGACGTACTGTTTGATGCACTCTGGTATGCCAACATACTCCATGGGGACGAGCTCCGCCAGTTCCGCCAAATTAAAGACGTATCTAATCTTCTGACTGAATTTTGAACTAGAGAAGAAAACACAAACAATTACCTCAATATTTCTGACACATAAAACTGACATTTCAATGACTTTTTTTTTTTTTAAAGGGTCCTCAGAAAATTACCTGATAAACGGTCTTGTCACAGCCAGAAGTGTTCGGATAAACCAAGAAGGGTGGACAATGATTAGAGACTTCAGGTTTTTCCGTAATCTGGAGATAAAAGAAAAAAAAAAAAAGTTATAGAAATTTCTATAAATTATAACACAAAAAGTTAGCCATAAGCAAGTATGTGCAAGTTTGTACAAAATTACTGAAAAAGAAGTCACCCAAATTTTTCATTTTGGTACAATACTTCTAATGACAAGAAAATGCATTTGTGAATTCTAAACATCACTCCTATGCTGTGAAACAAACTATTTCATCTAGGCAAATTCATGTCTTAGCTTGCCTGTTTTCAATGGCTCCTATCACATACAGTGGTATCCACATCTGACCAGCAGGAAAAGAGCTCAGAAAAGTAAAATCCTAAAACTATACCATTTTTTTCTGTGAGTCTGGGAGAAACAGGCTCTTGTTTCTAACACCATGAAAAGCACTGACTTGTAAAGACAGCACAGGGAAGACAAAAGAGAGAGCAAAGGAATCGGACCCAAGCGCGTTCTAGAGGTTTAAAAATCTTCACTAAAAAGTAAAACCTCTTTCTTAGGCATTTGTATATGATTTTAAAAAAATCACAAAGGATAACTAACATGTTTGCATATGAAACCTATTAACAGGAAACCTATTAACAGATTTGAGTAAACCATTTGAATCAGCTAAGGCAAAATCAAACCATTAGCAAGAGTAAAGGTGCCCACTGGCGTGGACAAATGAGTCAAGAGAACACACTTGTAATGTCTGTTCTGGAAACTATAGCTGGGCTAGTCTTCTTAAAAGACCTGTGAGCTGGGGAGATAGCCTCGTAGGTAAAGTGCCTGCTGTGTAAGCCTGGGGACCTGGGTCTCATTCCCCTGAACCCAGATACAAAGAGAAAAGCATGTTGTGGCAGACATGTAATCTCAGTGCTGGGACTCTCTAGGTACCAAGCTTAGCCTAGTCAATGAGATCCAGGGCTGAATCAGAACTTTCTGAAAAATAAAGTGGACAGTGACTGTAATAACTTTAGGTTGACCCCTGGCTTCCACACAGAACTTGTGCAAAGCAGTATAGAAACATTCTCCATCCTTTCCAAGATGAGTAAGAATGAGTTCCAAATGACATAAGAAAGAATGGAGAACAATCGTGTGTGTTTTGAAGAATTAAAATCACTCTTACTTAACAAAGCACAGACTCAAGTTATTCTCCATGACACTGTACAATGCCATCTTTAGAAAATAAAAACATTAAGAAATTGATAAGTACAACTGAAGAAATTGACATGCTATCTTTAAACAGCAACAGAAAGTATACTTCAATAGAACTACTGTAAAAATCTCTCAGCCAAGTCTACATCACCGTCTGTCAATCTGCTGGTAGCATCTCCTCAGCCATCCCAGACTGGGCATTTTCCTTCGAGTTGTCGCACCGTTTAAGTAAATGATCATGTAGTTCTCTGCTACCAACAGCTCTAAAGTGCCAATAACATATCTATAAAGACAATTAAGTACATGTCTTAAATGTCACCATTCAGGACTGAACTAGGCTCCCAAAATAACACAGTTCCCTTCTTGCCCCCATGAGGAGAGCCAACACCTGTAGTAGCTGACAATGTGACTGTTTAAAACAAAGTCCCACCAAACCCATACAGACTGAATGGCACTGTGTGCAGTCAGGGGACAGGTGGGACCAGGGTTTGACACACACTGCTTTTCTGTGTATGCTTCAGAACTTTGCAGTAAAAAATGGAAAACTAGACTAAGCCAAGAAAAATAGTGACTATGGAAATTAAAGAAAACCTAGTCAGCTCATCCATCATGCTGAGTCCCCAGGGAGAGATGTTTAGTCATACAATTTTGAGATGGTCAGTTAGTTACCTTTTCAAGCAATGCGTTTCCAAATAACAGAGTTGGAACAGATAATCTATACTAATTTTAAGAAGTATGTTTTTTCTATTGAGTTGGAAAATGCAGTTTCATAATGCTAAAGGATAAAGACTTGGGGACTCAGAAACAGGGTAACGTCTATATTTTGTTATTACTGTTGTCTGACTGGGGTATACACATGCCAGGCCAGAGCTGTCACTGAGCTGTCACCCTAGTCTTTTTGACATTTTATTTTGAGACAAGGTCTCATTAAGTTGCCCAAGTTGGCACTAACCTTGATCTGTATGCAGTTCAGTTGGGCCATCAACTTGTGATCCTTTTCCCTCAACCTCCCAAATAGCCAGGATTATTGTCCTGCTCCATCAAGCTGGCTTCTTTCTCATTTTTACAAGACTTAGTTCACTAGCATAAACTCATTAGCTCAGAATTCTGTTTAAATATCTTGTTAAGACATACTTACTTAAAGAGATTGTCCATCAGATATCTATAGTTAGGCTGGCCACTTTCAGGCATAAAACAGACAGCAAACACAACAATGGCATTTAAACCATCCCCATAATAGCCTGAGAAGAAAAAAAAAAGAAGGGTAAAATCTTTGGCACAATTTTACTCTGAAGGATTATCATTTTTAATTGTGTGTGTGTGTGTGTGTGTGTGTGTGTGTGTGTGTGCGCGCGCGCGCGCACACACAGAGCTTCCAGATGAATGAAGACCATAGAGATGACCAAGGGATGCATCTGGCCAAGTAAATTAAGTGGGAACAATTTCCTATGAGAAAGAAAAGCCCACCTGGCCAGTGCTGGGACTTGGGGTATACGACATGTTTATCCAGAGCGCACTGCATTCTGGTAATGGAGATGTGGACACTATTTGCACAGCATCCGGGAGAATTCCTACATGGTACAGTCGGACCAACAGAGTGACAACTGCAGTTCCCTAGCCCTCTGACTCACTTGCAAATCTTCTAGGGGAACGAACTATCTTGTGTAGCCTATAACCAAGCCAAGTGGGTGCCCCACTCAACATGTGGAATCAACAGTGCACACTCCACTAGCTAGAAGGAAAGGAAAGGCTGCAGTCAAAGCTCAAGAGGCAGCTTGTGTCAACACTGCAGCACGCTAGCTGCATACAAACTGTAAATTTACACCTAGTGCTGCAACGGATGCAGATGCAGTTTTCATGGACAACGAAATATTCAGTGATAGCGAATAAACCAGACACACACAGATGAAGCTCAAAAGCATGCTGAATGACAAGCAGTGCAAGAACTGCACACCATGTGAGACTAGTCCCATGCTTCGGAGGCAAGGCTGATTACGGGGCACATTATGAGTAGTGGCTTTTAGAGAGGATGGGCTTACTGCAAAGGGGTGTAGAGCTTCCTGGAGAAAGTGAAATGTTCTTCATGAGCATGGATCATACCTATGTGTGCATTTACATACATGTTTATATATACTGAGAGACATACAAGCTTTTGTTGAAACTTATCTATGTATTAAGATAAAGTGTAAATGCTTACAAAGGGTTTAAGAACCTAAGTCCTTTTGAGAAGTGAACATATAGGGTGAAACTACTATACTTCTTAAACTTATAGTAAACATATAAAAATAATTTTAAAAAGTTATTTGTATGGTACCTGCAGAGGCCATAAGAAGATATTGGGTCCCATGAGACTGGAGTTGCCAATGGCTATGAACTACCATGTGGGTGCTAGAAATTGAACTTGGGTTCACTGAAAGAGCAGCCAGTATTCTTACTGCTGACCCATCTCTCCAGCTCCTACATAAATAATTCTTAATTGTCCTTCTATTGTTTTACTTCAAGCCTTTTATATTCCTGGGGCTAGAGAGACAGCTCAGCAGTTAAGAACATGGCTGCTCCTCCAGAGGATTCAGGCTTGATTTCCAGCACTCACACTGCAGCTCTAAAACATTTCTAACTCCAGTTCCAGGGAATCTGATGCCCTCTTCTGGACTCTATGGAGACATGACACACAGAAATGGTGGTGTCCAGACATATATAGACAAAATATCTGCTGTGGGATGTTGTTCTGTATGCTATGAATATGTGTTGCTCTGACTGGTTGATAAATAAAACGCTGATTGGCCAGTAGCCAGGCAGAAAGTATAGGCAGGGCAAGCAGACGAGGAGAATTCTGGGAAGAGGAAGGGCTGCCTTAGGAATCACCAGCCAGACATAGAAGAAGCAAGATGTCAAGGCAGAACTGAAAAAAGGTAACAAGCCACACAGCTAAACATAGTTAAGAATTATGGGTTAAATTAAGTGTAAGAGCTAGTCAGTAATAAGCCTGAGCTAATGGCCAAGCAATTATAATTAATATAAGCTTTTGAGTGATTATTTTATAAGTGAGTCATGAGACTGTGGGGGTCTGGCAGAACAGGAGAAACCTTCCTACTACAAATATCCATCCACATAAAAAAAAGTTGAAACAAGGTCAGATGGTAGTGGTGCATGCCTTTAGTCCCAGCACTTAGGAGGTAGAGGCAGGTGGATTTTTGTGAGTTCAGGGCCAACCTGGCCTCCAAAGTGAGTTCCAGGTCAGCCAAGGCTACACAGAGAAACCCTGTCTTGAAAAAACACCAAAACACAAACGACCCCCCTAAACACAACAAAAAACAAACAAACAGACAAAAACCCTTTTATATTCTTAAAATGAGTTGAGAAATTTTCATTATTCTTTCAAAATAAGCTACTATCTCTAGGCACATTTTCTGACAGCATTTAGATTTGGGACACTGTGTCTAAAGATTCAGAGGATCCTCCCAAAGCCTTACCTCCATGGCTAATAACCTTTTTGTAGGGTTCGATTGCCTTCATATCCACCCTGTGGTCCTGTTCTCCAATTCTGAACATGCGCCAGCGGCGTCCATCTTCCTTTTCTTCTGTGGCTGTGTATTCAGTAACTGAGCCTTTCCTAATGACTTCAGTAGTTTTGGGTTTGGGAAGATCATCTGTTAAAATAAAAGGCTTTTGAATCACAAACTGTTATTTACACAATAAAAATCAAAATTGTATGTTAACCACTTTACTATCTAGATTATTCCAAGTGTTTCTGTTTTCTTTTTGGTGTCCTGCTGTGCTCCCCAGGCTAGCCTCACACTCACAGGCTCAGGTGATTCTGCCTCAGTCTCCCAGTATCTGGGAGAATAGGTGCACACCACCACATCCGACTATTTACAAAGAATTTTTAATACACTAGCTGAAATGATCACCTACGTTACAAGAAGAGGCTTGTTTTTACTTAAGGCCAATTTATGTCTTTAAAATCAGTTTACCAGAACTTTCTATTGCCCAGTTCAACAAAGCACAAGTTATAGTGCATCATACACCAGCTCAGCAAAGATACAGCCATTGAAATCTTGCTACACTGGCCTTGCATGCCTTTCCAGATTTCATTCAGGGCAATGGTGTCCATTAGAATTACTAGCACAGCTTACTTCAAGTAACCAATTGTGTTTTAGCACATACATTAATTATAAAACACTGTAATACAAGATAGAAAGTGGTTAACTACTCAGTGATCATTTTCCATTTGATCAATTTTATAAAGCTGACACGTACTTTTCTGAAGAATACATGCAAAAATTTATATAAATTAACACTAGCCAAAGCACCAATGATTACGTACAATTTATGTGTGCAGATTGCAGTTTAGTTGATTGAAATGAAGCTATGATTTTCAAAACTTTAGTATGATAGTCCTTACCAAAAGATGGGGGAGGGGAAACCTACTGCATGTTAGTTGTTTCCAAGACAAAGCTGTTAACGGAAAATATCCTTCCAGGCAATGACTACAGCAGCATTAAGGAGAGAAGAGACAAAACACACAGGCAGAAAACTATTTCAGTGTCTGTATAAAAGACTGCTTCTTACTGGGCTGCTTATTGAACCAGTAAAACAGGGAAGAAAAAAAGAACAAAAGCTACAGAGTATCACTCTTCATTACCCAAAAGTGTCTACTGCTTTTAAGTACAGTTTTGATGCATACTTCACTTTAAAGATGAAACAAAAAGGTTAACATTTGTCTAAATAGTATAATCAACCACTGCCTAATTCTAGGAAGCACACAAAGCAAAACACACACCAATGCCTCTGAACACAAAGTGATTACAATGGCACCGTCAGATTGGGGCCAACACTCCCGACTTCAAGGCGGCGGCAGCTGTACAGGTGCGGCTGTCTTCGGCACCTCTCCTGCCTATCCTTAGGTATTTATCAGTATTATTACTAGAGACAGGATCTGTGTAGTCGCTCTGGAGACCAGGCTAGCCTGGAACTCAGATCCTTCTGCTTCTGCTCTGGAGTGCTGGGATTAAAGGGATGTGCCACTGTGCCCAGCCCCTAGGTGTTCTTTAGTATATTCCTCATATGTCTCTTTAGAGGACTTTTCCTTACTAGATTGACTAACAAGAATATACTAGAATATTAAGCAATTCTTATGAAGCAACTATGGAAAAACAAATTACAATACTGGTCAAGTAAGGAAAAACAAAACAAAACTAAACTAAATGAAAGCTACCTGCATTATCTATAGTCTTGAAAACTTCAAGTATTTTCAGAATCTTCTACTTTAGTAACAAACTTAGGAACTGCAGAAAAAATAACATATTTCAAACAAAATCCTTCAATGGATTTTAGCAGGTTTCATGTTTAAGATTTGGCCACATCCTACTTTTCCTAAAGAGAATCCCATGATAAACACTATGTAATATAAACATCCATTCACAAAGCTCATATAAAAACAGTGAATTACCTTCCCACTCAAATTCATCACTGTTCTCTGATGGGGTGTCTAAGCCTTCCAGATCAACCTCCCCACCTTCGTCCAAATCATCCGACCACACAGAGCCTTCACTAGGATCCAGGGTCAGGCTGATGTCTGGGGCCATTAGTTTCTTACGTACTTTATTTCCATTAACTTCTAATGAGCCTGAAATTAGAAAACAAGGAAGAAGACTGGACTGCTCAGATGCCCCAGATGAAAGGGAAACATTTCAGTCGCTTCATTCTTAAGAAAAACATTTAAAAGAAAATCCCAAAGAATTCATAAAACTTGGTTGTGATCACTGCTTTTTAAAAAAGATACATTTTTATTCTACTTATTTTATGTGTATGGATGTTTTGCCTGCATGTATGTCTATATACCACGTGTATAGTACCTGAGGAGGCCAGAAGAGTTCATCAGGTCCCCTGAAACTGGAGTTATGGATGGCTATGAACTGCAATGCAGATGCTGGGAATTGAACCCAGGCTCTGTGCAGGGGCAGCAAGTGTTCTTAACTGCTAGGCCATCTCCTCAGATCCAATTTATTTATATTTTTAAATATGTGCATATGTGTGTGTCTATGTATGAGTATGTGCACACAAGTGCAGTGCCTGCAGAGTCCAAGAGATGACACCAGACCCAGAGAACTAGTTATAAGCACTGTGAGATACCTGAGGTGGACTCTGAGAACAGCACTCTCCTCCTCTGTGAGATACCTGAGGTGGACTCACTCTGAGAACAGCACTCTCCTCCTCTGTGAGTTACCTGAGGTGGACTCACTCTGAGAACAGCACTCTCTCCTCTGTGAGATACCTGAGGTAGACTCACTTTGAGAACAGCACTCTCTCCTCTGTGAGATACCTGAGGTGGACTCTGAGAACAGCACTCTCTCCTCTGTGAGATACCTGAGGTGGACTCACTCTGAGAACAGCACTCTCCTCCTCTGTGAGATACCTGAGGTGGACTCACTCTGAGAACAGCACTCTCTCCTCTTAAAAGACTTATTTACTACTGCTTCTTTGTCACGAGATCAAGAATGTATCAATGTCCTTTTAAATAACAGAGGCAGACTTCTTAGTCAGTTCTTATTAATATGGTCTCTTTCACTCCTTACAAAAATTTCCAAAACCAAAGGCATATTTTTTATGAAGTTAAATTTCTCAAGGATTTGCCAAAACCAAAAACTCTGGTTCCCTCTATGAGAATAAAAGCTCGATGTGTTTTGTTTTGTTTTCCTCTCTACAAAGAGATATGTTCAAAAGTAACACAAGCTTCACGGAAAGTCAGTAGTTCTTACCAGGTTGGCTGTCTGGACCAGTTACATCCAGTATGTCTGCTTCAATACTGTCATCTTCTGGTAAAGGTCTAAAGGACGAAAGCATACTCTTTAACCCAGAAATTCAAAACAATCCTTTCCATGTTCAAAGGTCCATTAAAAATATTGCTCACAGTTATAAGGACTAAAGCCGTGTTTCTTAAGCTCTACAAATCAGTTTGTATGCATGTATGAGGAGGTCAGAAGCTAGTCCCAAGATGTTCCTCAGGTGCCGGCCACTGTTTGAGACAGCATCTCTCACTAGCCTGGGACTGAGCAAATAGCCCAGGCTGGCCGGCCAGTGTGCCCTGGGGGTCTGGTCTCCATTTCCCCAGTGCTGGGGTTACGGAGGACACCATTCACTCTTGCACACGACTGATACCCATTCCTCTAAAGGCCTTCAGCGTAAAGCACAGCTTGCTGAAAATCTGAGTTGAAGTGATTAAAACAAATATGAAAGACAACCAGTCACATATTTAGTTGGAAAATGACGTTCACTTGAAACCTTTTAAAGGAAGCCCAACATACATGAGCTGAACACTCAATAAAGTAATTCTGATGCTTTGTTCCAAACCCGTGTAAGAAACAGTGCTGCTCACATTGGAAAATCTTCATCCTGCCATTCTTCCTTCAGCTCCACACCTTCCATCCTCAGCCTGGATTCAATGTCAACTTCCAGCTCCTGGCAATCCAGGCAGCCGAGGTCCTGGGAGGGAAGGATGGACAACAGCTCGATTTCCACTCTCCTCTTCATCTGTTGCAAAGGTGCAAAAGCCCACCCAAGTTCACATCTCCACTCCAGCAGCCACAGGGGCTTTAGCTCAGTGATCTGGTTAGGACATCCATTCACCAGGCTGAAACTTGACCCTATCTCAGATAATTAAATGTCTTTTCTGTCACAGAATTCTAACTAAGCCTTGTGTTCTGGATGGGGTGATTCTAGAAAGTGCACTAGTAACTTACAGGCACCAGAGCACAGTGCTATGCAGTGTGTACAGCTCCCCTCTCCATTGAGTCACTTAGAGTCTACCCAGGAGCTTGGCCAGCAAATGAACTGTACGAATCTCTGATGTGCTTCCATTTGTACCACACCTCTCTCATTGAGCTCAGCACTCAAGTTCGTGATGCTTTCTTATATGCAACTATACATTTTAACTTAAGCCCCGGAGTTTAACTTTAGTTTTGTAAGAAACTGTAAGAATTTTCACTTTATAAGGAGGAGCATTGACTTACCTTCTGTCTCACCGAATAAGACATTTGAAGTACAGTCTAAGAAGTCATGAAGAAGAGCTGGAGCGATGGCTCAGTGGTCAGTTTCCAGTACCCACATGATGGCTCACAACTACCTGAGACCCCAGTTTCAGGGGCATCACACTACCTCTGCTGACCTTTGATGGTACTACATGCACATGGCGTTCAGACATGTAGGCAAAATACTCACACATAAAATAAAAAACAAATCTTAAAAAAGAAGTCACGATGATCAGTTGGTAAAAAGTACACACAACAGAAACAACAAGAGGTATCACTGAGCTTCACCTCACTTACATTAGAGCAATCTACAGAGTAAGTTACTACAGAGAGCACTAAACTATATTTCTGTCTCTGAACCATGTTCTTGCCCTTTAGGCTGTCTTCAAACTATATAAATGGATTCCTGTTATGAGTTTTCCTTAAAAAGTGTGAGAACATAAATACACACAATATAAATTACTGTTGGTAAAATTACTCCTTATTTGCTGGAGGAAATATTTCTCTTGTGAAATGCCTCTTAACTGCTTTGTCACTTGAAAACTAACTCCTTCGAAAGTTTGTCACGGGGCTCAGGTGTGCAATCCCAGTGCTCTGGGGCCTACAACAGGGGGATTACTGCTGAGTTCGAGACTAGCCTGGGCTACACAGCAAGATCCTGTCTTAAAACAACAAAAGGAACTCTTTATACACAGGCCTGTAACCCCAGCTCTCTCAGAGGCTGAGGCAGGAAGACTGTGTGTTCAAGGCCAACCTGAGCCTCTCGGTTAGACAGTCTCAAACTCGAGCAGGAAGGCAGGGCTGGGCTGTAGCTCAGAGACTGCCTGCTCAGCACATGAGGCCCTGAATTCAATTCTCAGCACTACAGGCAAACACAAAAAAGCCCAAGTCCTTGTGCCCTCACAGCCCACTTCCTCAAGTTTATGCTAACGTCCTCAGTCACGTGATGTCCAGATGCCTCTGTGTATCGCTGTGGGATTTTAGTTATGGGGACGGTTATCTAGGCTAGTTAAACAAAGAGAGGACAGAGAGAAACCGAGACTAACTCCACCATTTCATCAAGAACTTTGGGGGCGGCCCACTAGGTAGATAAAAACAAAAGGCAACAATCGAGCTCTGTTCTTGGAAGCACTTTATCACCAAGCAGCTGTGCGAACAGGAAAACAGCAAGAAAGGAGTTGAAACCCGCACAACTGCTCGGGAGGGAATCCGGATGCCTCTGACTCACAGTTGGTTGGTTATTTCCCAGGTTTGCTTTTAGTGCTTTAAAATAGGGAAATAACGTACTTCCACAGGGGGAAAATCTGTCTCGATAGCTTGGTGGCACATCTTTATGCCAGCTATCTGTGGCACTCATAAGCAAGTCAACAGTCCTTGACCCCAGTCAGGTTAAAAATCAAAGATGATGGATTCCTCCATACACAACTTGAGAGGAGAGGTGTGAATCCAACCGAGATGGAGAGGGAGAAAGCCACAAGCAGTTTAGGAAGATGAGCCAAATTAAGTATGAGGACCCTATTTTGACCCACCTAGGCTGTGACTGACAGTTCTCCAAGGTAACTTCACTATCACGTAGTCTGGGCACTGCTGCTAGGGACAGGCGATGCTGAAACCAAACACAGGTGGCAGGAGGCCAGCACGGACACAGAAGGCTCTGCTTTATTATTTCCATTCATTAGGAACAACAGCCTATATGCCCATGAAGACCAACGAAAAATCCCCGGAAACGTCCTCCACACTTGCTTGTCACTATTCTAAAATCCTATCTTTTTTAAACAGGCGCGCGCGCGCGCGCGCACACACACACACACACACACACACACACACACACACACACACACGCACTGGTGCACACAGCTGGGGTGGGTGGGTTAGAGGCGTGTGCTTTGGCAGCAGAGTGGAGGGAGGACGACAGTTTTCAGGTGTGGTCCTCTCTGTCCACTTGGTTTTGAGACAGGGTCTCTCTTCTATTTCCTTTGATTATTCCATGCTCCCAGCTAGCTGGCCACGAGCTTCAAGGTGATTCTCCTGTCTCCTCCTCCCATCTTGCCACAGTACTGCCGGGATTATAGCTGGCTTTTTATGTGGGTTCTAGAGGTCAAACTCAGGGGCTCAGGCTTTCCAGGCAAGTGCCTTTACTGGCCAATCCATCGCCCCTATGACCATCATGTAGGTTTTTCAAGAATGAAATGAAATGCTTCCACAAAAATGTTCTCTCAACAAACTAGAATGGTGCTAACTGCTTTCAAAATTGTGAAAACATAGCAGAGGATACACACACACACACACACACATCTCTAAGAACACGTTTACTAAATTGTCAGTATGCAGAAGGTATTGGAGATGCGTTGACACCTTTAAGTAGATTACACCCTCACACCTGATCTCCAACAGTCTGCTAGTGTTCTAAGCTGGTTGTAATGTAAAGTTAAAATTAGCAGTACTACTACTGTCTTGCTTCATAGGATGTGAGCCTAACCAAAGACCTGACTATTGTCAGCTAAGGCCACTCTTGGGTCTGGAGAGACATACTTATTTTCATCACTCCAGTCAGAACAAACACAACCACTGGCCAAAAGAGTATTTCACCTCTACTAACCATTTTTTTTTACACCCATTAGTAACCAATAACTCAACTGACCAGCAAATGTGTGAGATAGACTGTGATGTTATTACCCCTTTATCTTAGACACCAGGCAAAAGACCACATGCCGATTCTCAGATCTATAGCAGAACTGTTCACAATATAGCATACTGTCTCCAGTTCACTACCAACTCCACACACAGGTCTATAAAACCAGATTTGGTTATACTTAGTGTGAAAGGTACTGTAATGCCTAAAGATGGAACTATGCTGATTTATGCTAATTAGTTCCTACTCTATACACACAGTCTAACAACATAAAGCTACAGATAGAAAAGACTTGAAGACTAAGAATAGCCCTAAGAAAAAACACAAAAACACAAAAATGAAAAGAACCAAGCAAAAAATGTGCACAGTAATGAAGCATTGGTAACTTCATGTATGGGTAACTTAACTAGATAACTTCAATTCTAACTTTGAAGAAACATCCATTCATAAATTACAGAGTTTCTTTCTACAAGTGAAGGCTAGAAGGCTGGCTCAGTGTTTAAGAATTCTGGCTGCTCTTTAGAGGACCCTATTTCAGTTCCCACCACCCACACCTGTCGGTTCACAACAGCCTATAACACCAGTTCCAGGGAGTTCTGATACCCTCTGCAGTTGCCCACACCATGCGACACAAGAACATTTACAAAAACAATCTTTGAGGGGGGGAAAAAGAAATTCTACAATTGCAGAAGGATTCTTATAAGTCGTAAGGCAAAGTGCGTTTCATTCAAGGTGGGATTTCAAGAATAAGAGAAAAGATCCTAAAAGTGAGGCTAAAGAATACAATCGCAGATGGATGGTACTATAACTACCTTGATAAACAATGCAAAAGCTGTGTCCTCAAAGAGTTCCCTGGACAAAGGACGTTTCAAAGCAATATAACAGACCCAAATAAGTTTCCGCTTGAACGTCAACTGACCTAGGGAGAAGGCCACTTCCGTAGCATCGGGTGCATATAGAAATCCAAAGCATCTGGGCCAGTATTTAAATGAAGAGGTTAAGTGTCCTAAAAGAAGCAAGGACCGGACATTGACGCACACACCCCATCCTGGGATAGCACTCTCAGGACGGTGCAAGAGAGCCTGATGACTTATAGGATGCTGTTTGTGTATGCTGTCTGCGTCCATCCCCCGAGGCTATGGGGTGCATTACACGCCCAAGTTTCTTTGTTCGGCTCCGGACTGACGCCGGATAGGAACACGGAACAAACGTGGCTAGGGGAAGCCAGGAACCGGGAGGTTCCGCCCCAGGCACTCGGCCACAGACGGAAAAGGAAGGGGGCGCGAGACTGGCACCAGCGCCCGGGGCGGGGCGGGGCTGGGCCCGGCAGCGCCAGGACCCGGAACGCGACCATGCCAGTCCACGGCCCCCGCCCCCGCCTGGCCTTGACGGTCCTCCCGCAGCTTGCTGCGCCCCAGCCCGGCCCGCTCCCCCTGGCCTCGCTCACCCCGGAGGAAGCCGCGGCCCCCTCGTCCTCTTTGCCCCTCCAGGCCGGCGACGTGGGGCTGACGGCCAGGTCGCAGAAAGCGGCGGCGGGCAGAGCCCGCTGCCCTTGGTCGGCGGTGGAGACGGGGCCCAGCGCTTCCCGGCCGGTGGCAGCTGCAGTCCCGGCGGCAGCAGCTGACCCGGATTCAGTGCGCACGCCCCGGCGGAAGTGACCACCTCCGGACCGGCGCCGGGCGCGGCTGAGGGAGGAAGCGGAGACGGAGCGTCATCACCAAATCCCCAGCGGCCCTCCTCTCTGCGCACGCGCGGTTCTCGTCCGGGTTTGCTGTCTTCAGCCTGCCGAGTCTTTTCCCATGTCTGTAGCGACATCACCTTGCTGTCTGGGAGGGCCAGTACTTTCTTTCTGTTTGCCTTTACTTAACATGACGTTAGCTGAGTTATAAAATGAATGCAAACGGTGTGAAAGATAGCCGATGTCTTATGTGGGATAGCCAGGTCCTAGAAGAATCCTACTTTGATAGAATTCTCCAATGTGAAGAGCTTTGCTTTCTAGCAGTGCTTCTGGGAGTAATTACCCCCCCCACCTCCTTCCTCCACCCCCTATCCCCACCCTCCACCCCCCAGGATCTTATGTGTCGGGGTTGGCCTTGAACTCCTCCCTGTGTAGCTGTAATAACCTTGACCTAATCCTCCTGCCCCAGCCTCCAGAGTGCTGGGATTACCAACATGATTGTTAGCACACCATTTAAGTGGTTGCAGAAACTGAACCTAGGGCTTCCTGCCTGCTTGGTAAGCGCTCTTCTGAGATCTCATTTCCTCACCTTTTGAACATACTTTTCCCAATTATTTACGGGTCATAGCTTGATAAAAATAGATATATGAAGGAAAAAAAAACCCGAAGTCTTACGTAAAAACAGTTTATTTACACAGTCAACAACCCTAAAATTGGCTGTTGTAAAAATGCCTCAAAGGAGCTCAATTTCTGTACTTTTCTGTGTGGACCAGGAATGATTTTCAGAAGGGCTCCAGTCTATGAAGCATACTTTTTAAAAAATTCAAGGGACTATTATTTTGGAGGACCTAGCATCCCTCTTAGAAGTTGTACTTGCTCAACCTGTAAAAGGTCTAGCAGTTAACTGTTTGGGCAATTCTATTAGGTAGTCCTCCTAAAGGAAATGGTAAAGTCAATTTTTTTTTTTTCAAATTGACCCCAAACAGTACTTTGCAGTCACAGTCCAGATTTGTTCTCTGTTGGTAGAGCTAGGTGTTCTGTGACTTACCTATAAAATAGGAGGAAAAAGAATACCTACCTGACAGGGCTTTTTTGAGGTAAAACAGTACATATTTATGAGATGAGTGCTTGGAACATTGCGATCCCGGGTGTTAGGCGTCATTATTTCCCCTAGGCGTCATTATTTCCCCTAGTAATTTCCTAGTAATTTGCTGGAGGGAGAACAGATGCCAGACTGATAAAGTTTTAGTTAAACCACTTGGGTCATGAAAAGCATTTCCTCTTCAGTTACAGGTTCATAGTTCCCATTTTAATTTCAGTTCTGCAGTGTGCAGAGTTCCCCACAGGGTGGCAGAAGATCGTTTGCATTCATGGAAGGAGTGAGGTTTTTGTGGTCTTTAGTTCTTCATTATCGTTAAGTTAGTCATGAAATAAACTTGATCTATGTTTGGTTCTGAGTAAACCACACCAATACATTTTCCTTTTATCTCCACTTCATGAACTAGTTATTCTTATTTTAGAAACATTAGAGACAATGGATAAACCAAAAAGATAAGCATTATGAAGTTACATTTATTTATATACTTGAGATTGGATATACATATATTAATTGCATATCATTCTAAAAATCAGATAATGTAGTTAAGTTTACAATGTATTTTATTTAAATCTTTCTAAATGTATTTTTTAGTTTTCTTAGAAAAATTATTTTATGGTGCTTGGAAATGAATCCAGGACCTTGGATACAAGCACTCCACCACTGAGCTACAGTTCTAGTGCTCCTTTCCCCTTGGTTTTTTAAGTATATCATGAATTCCTTTTCACATTTATAAGTACATTTCATCACATTTATTTATTCGTTCATTTATTTCACAGTTTTAAAAGTCAAGATCTGAGCCGGGCGTTGGTGGCGCACGCCTTTAATCCCAGCACTCGGGAGGCAGAGCCAGGCGGATCTCTGTGAGTTCGAGGCCAGCCTGGGCTACCAAGTGAGCTCCAGGAAAGGCGCAAAGCTACGCAGAGAAACCCTGTCTCGAAAAAAAAAAAAAAAAAAAAAAAAAAAGTCAAGATCTGGTGTAGCCCAGGCTAGCCTCAAACTTGCTATGCAGCCGAGTCTGGCTTTGAACTCCTGATCTTCCTGCCTTCATTTCCCAAGTGCAGGGATTACAGGAGTGCACCTCCTGCTTAGTTTTCATCATTATATTACCAGTCCTTTATTCAACATTTAACTAGCTCAATTTTTTAATAGTTAAAAACACTTCAAAAATGTCCAAAAAGTGAGGAACGAGGGACTATTAACATATTTTAAAATAATACATTAGTTACATTTTTAGATAATACATTCTTTAACTTACATAGAATATCTTTAAACCAATGTATCCAAATGTTAACCTAAAATAGTATTGAATACTGTTTCAGTCCTGTGTTAACAGACTTTGGAGGTAATATTTAATGTGTTTTTTAAAAGATTATTTTGTGTGTATGGGATTTTGCCTACATGTATGTTTGGGTACTGTGTGCCTGGTTCCTGCAGAGGCCAGAAAAGGGCATCAGATACCATGGGACAGAGTTATAGATGGTTGTGAGCTGCTGTGTGGGTGCTTGGAACCGATTCTAGGTCCTCTGCAAGAGCAGCCAGTGCTCTTAGCTGCTGAGCCGTCTCTCCGGACCTTCTCTGGTGCCTTCGATGTTAGAATGATAACAGTGTCTCAGTGTAGGTGGCAGAGCACTGTCTCGCTGGGAAGCTCTGTCTGCTGTTAGACACGTGGTTTCCACAAGAAAGGATCATCGATAGCGTGGGCATTACTAATTACTCACTTTCTTTGCCCCTCATTTAAATGTTGTTGTTATGTGTTGATAACTTTTCCATGTGTAAACCAAGACATTTCTAAAAAGATTTATTCTATTCTATATGTATGTATGTGTACCATGTGTGTGCCTGGTGCCTGCCAGGGCCAGCAGAGAGTATCAGTTCTGGAACTGGACTTACAGGTGGCTGCACTACCCTGTGGGTGCTGGGACTTGAACCTGGGCCCTCTGCAAGAACAGCAAGTTTTCTTAACTGCCAGTTGTCTCTCCAGCCCCATGATCTTGGTGTATACATTTTCTGTAGCTTGATTTTTTCGCCTTGCCCACAGTCAGGACAAATCTCTGTCACCCGCCAGTCCCACAGCCGCTCAGACCCAACCAAGTAAACACAGACACTTATATTGCTTTCAAACCGTATGGCCGTGGCAGGCTTCTTGCTAACTGTTCCTTTATCTTGCTAACTGTGCTTTTATCTTAAATTGATCCATTTCCATACATCTATACCTTGCCATGTGGCTGGTGGCTTACTGGCGTCTTCACATGCTGCTGGTCATGGCAGCGGCTGCAGTGTCTCTGGTCATTGCGGCGGCTGCAGCCTCTCTGGTCATTGCGGCGGCTGCAGCCTCTCTGGTCATTGCGGCGGCTGCAACGTCTCCTTCTGCCTTTCTGTCCTTTTATATCTCCTCTCTGTTAGTCCCGCTTATCTTTCTTGCCTAGCCACGGCCGATCAGATTTTATTTATTAACCAATCAGAGCAACTTGACATACAGACCATCCCCCAGCACAGCCAAGTGCAGACCATCTCAAACACCTGCACTCAGGCCCATGGTCCTAATCATCCTCTATACGGACCTGCTGGGTAACGCCACAAAGAACCTGAGAATGGGCTCCCACAGGACATACAGAACATCCCACAGCAATTTTCTGTCTCTTTCCCCTCTCTATGTGGTCTCTTTCAGGGAAGCCTGAGGGGGTTGTCCTGGGGCACTCAGCTTCTTGGATTGTTTTGTTCTGCTTTGTAATTTTCTGTTCCCACCGTCAGTCCTCCCTTTGGGATGTGGTATTATTCTGTCTTAAAGGGAATGCTGTACTCCTTTAAATGACTTTTGTGAATGGCGAAAAAGCCTGAAAAGGTGGCTCAGTGGATAAGCATTCATGCTGTTTTTGCAGAGAACCCAGGCTTGTTTTGATCCCAGCACCCAAGTTGAGGGCTCACAACCACCTGTAACTCCAGCTTCAGGGGTTAACACAACCCTCTTCTAGCCTCTGTGGGTCACATGCATTCACATGCACATACCTGCACACATATACATAATTACAAACATGTAGTCTTTGCACATTGCCGTCTTGATGTGCCTGAAAGCCCTGGTTGATGCTCTCAAGCGTCAGCAAGGCTGCAAAGAGAGGCAAACACCAGGCCACTCTCCAAAGTCACCCTCTGGACCCTGACTTCAGTAATGAAGCGTGACTACACTGACAAATTTGAAGTCATTGATGGTCACAGAGCTAAGAAAGTCAGTGTGAGCCTCACAGGCAGGTTAAACAAGTGTAGAGGGATCAGCCCCAGATTTGATGTGCAGCTCGAGGACCTAGGAAAATGGCAGGATAATCTGTTCCCACCCCATAGGTTTGGTTTTATTGTCCTGACAACCTCAGCTGGCATCACTGGCCACGAAGAAGCAAGATGAAAATGCACAGGAGGGAAAATCCTGGGGCTCTTTCTCTAAGGTGGTAAAATGTGCATAAAGTGCAGCAAGAGAATAAATCTTTTTTAAAAAAAAATATAGTCTCACAGCTTTCCCTGATCTCTCTGTACATCCTGCCTTGCATATAGCAAAATCAGGGTTATCTATTAGAGTAAGAAAGTTTCTCAGAGACAGTTGTCTACAGAGTAGCCCTGGGAATTCCTTCTGGTTAGGTGAAGTTCCTTGGGCCAAGGGTAGTAAGAAGCACATGTGTGAGTGTGTGTGTGTTCATGTCTGGCATGAGTGTGTCTGTATATATCTCTCTGTGTGCATGTATGTGCATGCATATGTGTATGTGTCCATGTGAGAAAGTGTGTCTGCATATGTGTGTCTGCATGTGTGTATGTGT